CCAGGTTCTCTGCCAGCAAAAGACATACTATTGCCTGTAATAAAACCCAAGAAGATGTATTATTATAACCCTTCAGAAATGGTTAAACTCATAAAGAGGAAATGACTCGACCAAGATCAGGCAGGCAGCTGTGTGAAGACTTCCACCGAGGCCCGTCTGGCTCCAAAGCACGTTCCACTCAGTATGACAAGCCAGTCCACACTTGCTTGCCGGGAGTGTAAATCTGTCAATATGTTTCAGGAAGGTGCTGGTACCTGTACCTGACTCACAGGCTCCCACGGCTACTGGCTGAGTCACTGCCACAGGTACCATTGCCCCGCCGACCCGGCCCAAGCTGTGACCAAGACTGAACCACAACCATCAAAACGGGACCAGAGAGCAAGCAAGGAGAAATCCGCAAAGGCAGAGGGAAGTCATAAACCTGCTTTCTCTCGTAGCAGGTGCCACGTACCAGTTAAACAAAGACACTCGTTTCTGGGACCCACACTCCTGAAGGCCGTAGGCGCCCAGGGGGCAGACGATGGCTCTGACCCCTCCTGTGCCGAGGCAGATGGCCGACAGTGCTGCGTAAAACAGCCTCTTCCGCTCCGTTTCCGGTATGTTGTTGATCACGTGGTGAGCGCCTACATAGAAATCGCCCAGGGGGAAAGCGGCCACAGACAACAAGGCGGTGCCTGTAGGGAGAGAAAGAAGGGGGAGGAGTGTGGCGGAGACCACTGAGCCCCAGCCCCACCATGAGCAAGCTTCTTCCTCTGATCCTACCCTCCTTTTCTGATTATCTTATGAAAATATCTAACCATGGCAATTTTGGAGGTAACCCGATTTTCCTAAATGTTCATATTTCCTTGAATATATGTTTTTAACTAATCCAGAGTCCTAGTTTTTTTTTCCCCCCCTCAGACTTGAACTGTTTTTTCTCTGAGAATGTAGAAGTGAATCAGGTCCATTTTACAACAGTAAAACAATTCAGCAGTGCCTGATGTGAGAAATTGAAGATGCTTGTAACCCCGCCCCCAGAGAGAACCTCTGTTAACAAGGGTTATTGTTCTTAATCAATAGCTTGAGAGAAAACTCAGCCTCAGACATCTCGGAAGCCTATTAAACAAGACATTTTAAGAAGGACGATTACTGTCATTAGAGGAGAACATGGCATCTCTTTTCAGTTTTTACTTCCCTTTCTCCTTTTAAAGCCCCTTTTACTTCTGTTACTCCTCTTGCCTTACCTGCAGGCACAGGTGAGAAGGGTGGGGAGAGGGGTGGGAGGTGAGGGGTGGGGTACAAGTCAGAGGGAGGGAGGAGAGAGTGCAAAGGAGAGTGGAGTGTTCCTTTCACTTCCATTTGCAGAGACCAAACTTTAAGCCTCCCTGTGTCTGATAAAAATTACCAATTTCAATTCCATGCTTTTGCTAAGCTATTTATAGTTTGCAGAAAAATTTTGCCTACTGTATTGTTTTATCTTGGAAAAGCTTTGTGATGTCAGAGGATGGATTTTTTTAATTCTGATTTTAAAAAAGAGAGAGAGAGAGACCAAGACAGGATTGCTGCGGCTTAATGACTTGCCTGATGTTACAGGGTCACCCGGATGTAATCTCTTGAAATCTCTCCTCTTGAAATTTCCTGTCTTCAAACGATCAAGTCATCATTTTTTGGTCGTTGTCAATTTGGTTAATGCAAAATGGCTTCTCCATGTTAGTTTTACCCTCCATTTTACTAACTTGGCATTGACATTTTTTGGTATGCGCCTTTTGTGTAGTTGTTTTGTGTGGTTAATTTTCTCAATAAGACTATAAGCATCTTAAAGGCAAAAACAGGGTCTAAGGTTTCCATCTCCCATACAACGGCTTTCCAAATATGAAGAATGCACGCTCTCAATAGCTGTTTGCTAACAGATTGATTTACCAGGAGGGTGGACCCTTTAAATGAGTTTAAAATGTTTCCTATTCAGGTGACTCAGATGTGCAACTCACTTCTCTCTCTCTGCCTCTCAGTTGTTAGCTCTGAAAATGTCACGTGAGGCCTGGCCGGGCTAAGGGTTCTCCAAAGAGGATTGACAGAGGAACTGCTTCCTGCAGGAGCCGTTTATTTAAAGACAAAGTACTTTTAGTGGAACCTTTATATAAATTCAAAAGGCACTTTACTTCCATCTTTTGAAAAAGAGTCATAATATACTGATTTCAATAGATCAGAACTTTATTTCTATCTGCTATAAAATGGATGTAATAAAAATACAAGTCTATGACATACATGATAAAAAGATTTCTCTTGGTGTGCGCTCTTGTGCCGTGCATAATCAGCGCACCTATGCTTGGTGGCTCTGTATAAAGCACCATGATGTGTCATAGCCCTTGTTAAGTGGCGGGGTGGGGTGCAGATAGCAGTCCTGTGGCTCCTCCCTTCAGGAGCTAGTGAATCCATCAGAGAAGGCAGACATGCAGGTGGACAATCATAAAGTGGCAAATGCAATTATATATGTTTGGTCAGAGTGTGGTTGAGCATGGAGAAGCTAGCAACAAACACTCCGTGAGTCTTCAAGGAAGAGCCAGGAGTTTTGCAGACTTGGATATGGGATGGAAAGATAAAGGAAGGTGACAGTTTCAGGCAGGAAAAAAAGAGCCTATGTAACATTAGAAAAGTAGGGAAGCGGGCAAGGTGAAGCTCAGCATGTTTGGGGCTGCGTGTAGAGACAGAAGTCTGGAGAGGTAAATTTGGGACCGGTTGTAAAGGTTCTTAGATACCAAACTGGCTTTTATTATTATTATTATTATTTTTGGATAATAGAGCCAATGTATAGATTTATTCTTGCAGGGAGTCAATGCTATTGGTAGAAAGGTATGCATACTGCAGTCACGCTGATGACTTGACAGCCAGTAAGGAGGCCATTGTGATAGCCAAGGAAAAGAAGGCTGCATTTTTGAGCTAAGGTAATAGCAATTCAGACAGAAGACACATTTTTGATAGAACCTCTGATGCCTAGTGGTTGGTGACACTGATGACAGCCATGAGTGGGGGACACCAGGAAATAACTTTGAGGAAGAAACTGAACAGGACATGAAATTGACTTGTCTTTTGTTTGCCTAATCCCAAAGTTGGGATTTCTGTTTGAGTGTAATGACTTACACGGGAATTTAGACTCATAGGAATCACCATGTTCAACGAGAGGTTGAACGCTACTGACATGGCTTGTTAGCAGGTTAAGAAAAGTAAGTCCCTCAGGCCCTTGCTTAAATGTCTCCTGATGGGATGCAGAAGAGCAGCCTTGTCACTGGCTAGTCCATCCCGATCCCTTACGCAGCTTTGTTTTCCATCATCACACATTACTACCCAACGTAACAGCCATTTACTTGACTATCTCCTGTCTCCGCACACCAGAAAGTCAACTTCGGAGAAATACAGACTGCTTTCTTCTCTGCTGCGTTCCAGATCCTGGAACAAAACCTAACGGAGTAGCCCAAGCGAAATATTTGTTGGATGTTGAACGAATATTCGCCATGCAGTGACTTAGTTTTTATGTCACAGACTGAAGCAGTGAAGAAGTTTACGAGCGTAAATCAATCTCTCATGGCTTCAGTGAGTGGTGCTTCACCACCTGCCTGGAACTGGGTGATGCGCCGAGTCCCTGATACCCGTCCCTTCATCATTCGTCTCCCCTGCCCCTCAGACTGCATTTCAGCTGCACATGTCAGGGTTGGTGAACAGCACTTTACCTTTCTAAGTTCCTCGGCTCAGAACTTGGAGTTAATTTTTGTTCTTCCATCATATTTGTGCCCTTATTTAGTTGACAAGGTTTGTATCGTTTGACTTTTTTTTTCCTGGATTGACTTCTCCATTGCCTACACCAGCATCCTGAGATTTTTCTGGTCTCTGTCTAACCTCTCACTGCGATTGTCCATCCTGTTTATTGAAGAAAAGCATTTCCCAGATGTGTTCATCTTATCTTCAACGACGCCTCCTTGTCTAGAAGAGCAACTTGAACTTCTCAGCCTAAATTTCTATACTGTTCATCCACTTGATCTCTATACCTTGTCAGACAAATTTGGTATTCCACCCCCAGCATTCTCCACAATCACTTCACTCCCAAACTGTTGTAGACACAGTTCTTTTTCGCTATGTAAAGAAGCACAGCGTAGTGTTTAAATTCATTTATTTTTTAGCATGTAGCCATAGTTCATAATACGGAAATCACATCTTCATATGCAGCCTTAATTACTAAATGACTAATTAAAAGACCACCTCTTGATGAAAGCATTTCTCAGTTATTCTGCATGAACTTCAGAACACCTTTTTAGCACATTTCACTTGCATTGTGAAGCAAATGAACTTCATATTTCACATAGACTTTGTCACAAATTTGGGCTGGTGATAGGAAGTAGGGTAAAGGAGGGCATTCATAAAGTACAGAAGACAGACATTTAGAGACAATTACTAAAAATATAATCAGTGCCATGATATAGGTACCAAGCACCCTCTAATACACGCACACACACGCTTACTAGTAGCCCTCAACTAATACACAGAATAAAATACATTGAAACATTGTTAGCTGATTTATTACATTTTATGCTACAAGCAAGGTGGAAATAACGTAAACCAAATATTCTAATCAAAATCTACTCAAATATGTTGTAAAACAACCCTGTCAGGAGAGGGTACTCACCTAGAAAATGCAGAAATAAGCAAATCTGTACCAGTTTGTTTCTTCCTAGGCAGACATCAGCAAGCCATCCTGCAAACACAGGGGTAAGGACTGAAGTTCCAATAAAACACAAGTTCAAAATGGCGGCCTGGTCATTGCGGTAGCCAAGCTTGACGGTGCAAAAGGGGATCATATTGCAGACGACTTCGAAAAAGGTGAACCTTTCACACAGCTCCACCAGAAGCAAACAGATTCCAACCTGAATTTTTCTCACAGAGTGTGATGAGGAGAAATCTCCGGTATGTCTTACAGTTTTCTCCTTCTCAATGCTCTGAGTTAAGGGTTCCCTCTCATCAGTCTTTTTAAAGCCTACAGCCGACATGACTACCCTCCTTGAATACTACTTACGTTAGTGGTTTGAACTTGGTGATTTCTGTCCCCATCCCTCTAATGAAAAAAAGATCTTTGCTTTGAATTTCACAACTCTGTGCTAAAGTTTCATAAGGTTTTTTGCACCTTAATGTTGTTCATCTTGATCCGGGAGCACCAGAGAGGAGACACGAGTGTTTCAAGCAAGGGAGCACAGTGTAGCCAAATCTGATTTGTTTGTCTAATTACTGAGAGGCTAAATTAGGCTCTTCCTCCAAAATTATATTGAATTACATGAATCCGGTTACGTACGTGTGAAAAACTCATCTGCCTCACACTGATAAAGGTTTAAATACGGAGGCAGAAGCAGCAGTTTTTCAGGAGAATTTGAGCACTAGATCAAGAAATAATTTGAGTCTAATAATTTCTGATACTTTAATTAAACAAGCCAGAACAGTACCAAGAGATAAAGCGCGAAAGGAAATCTGTTTTGAGGGGGAAGGATACCTTATCATTATTACATGTCTTGTTATTTTTGGTTGGAATTCTGATAAGAAAGCTAATTAGGTAACAAAAGTGCTAGTACATTTAGGTAACAAGCGAAGTTTGCAAGAAAGTAATTTAAGTGCACTAATGAAAGGAGAAAATATTAAACAGAAACCCTCTTCCTTTAAGTTGACCCCATGCTTGTAGAACAGCTTCTCGGAGGAAATCAGAATCAAAAGGTTCTGTTTAACTCATTATTAGTCAGCAACGGGAGCCAACTACGATCCCACGCGTGCTTTGGGGAATAGCAGGTCTGGCATCACCTTGACCCTCCAGCTGGGGGAGTGGATGCTAGCGTTCTATTTTGGAAAAGCAGGAAGGCACAAATTTCAAGCTAGAAAAGCACCAGTGAAAGAGATCACTTGAGCATTGAAGGGTTTAGCTTCAAGGACGCAGAGAGACCAGGGAATGGAATTACTGGGTCAAAGTCATAATAATTCAAAACATAGAGGGTGAGTATAAGAATGTTATTTTCCTCTTGGAGCCAAAAGCAAAAGACCGATAAAGGCTTTTGACTCTGATTCTCGTCTTCGACCTGAGGGCTTGGGAGCAAAACTCTTTGTGTTGGCCTCTTCGGACAGTCTCACTGTAACGGTGGCAGTTTTCTTCTGTTCATATTGCTTCTCCCGCTTTTTGCAAACAGTGCCCCGTTTTCCCTTTGTGTAGGGTGAGCCTGCTGTTTCTTAGCCAAAGTTGGGCACGCGTGTGAGTTCCATATAGTCATTTCTGAAAAACAGACACACACTGGGATCGTCTAGGGTGAGCCCCAGTGTGTGGTCATCCTGCCTTCCGGGGAATGACTTCCATTTATTACGTGAGATCCTGGAGGGGCTTTCTTCTGGCTGAGGGGATCAGCACAGGGTCTAAAGATAGTCTTTTTGCCGTTTCTCCACAGGAATTTTAATCATAAGTGGAATGACCCAAGATTGGACATGGTGGACGCTGAGTGAGATAGCAGTACGCCGAAGGGGATTCCCCATGTGGCCCCGATGGAGAACTCAGGGCCACCCCAGTTTTTACCCTTCAGGAGGTATGCCTAGTTTTTCCTTCACTAAAGGACTCAATTTCCAATCAGTTTTGGTTTAAATTTGCCCCATTTGGTTTCTGCACCTTCCAAGAAGCCTCAGTGATACTTTGTTGTTGTTACCCCAGAGGCAAGGGAAAGCTGGTCACCAGCCGTGTAGCCAGGACCTGGCAAAGGACTCCGGCAGTGTGATTTCACAAGCAGGGTGGCGCCACCTCCTCCCAGGGCCCGATGATAATTGCGTTTCAGTTCTTTGGTTCCTCTCTGCATCCTTGCCCAAGAACAGGCCACAGGTGGTGGGAACCCCTGGGGCTTGGGGGTAATTACGTCATGGAGGGCAACAATGTTTGCTAAATAGATTTGAAACAATAGGAAATCACCTCTTTCTTTTTGGTATTTCTCAATACTCAGAATGGGCTCAAAACACAAGTACATACCAACTCCCGTTGAGAATAACACTTGGCAGGGAATACTGAATACCATCTTGGTTAACACACTTGAGCCCTTAAGTGGGAAATTATGCATACTTTAGTTTTATGCAACCCTACCCTGTCCCCTACAGCCTCAGGCTTGTTCTCCATCCCTGTCCCTCCCCATTCTTGCTGCCCTTAATAAAGAGATATTTGTCCTCCGTTACAGAAGCAATGTATGCACGTTAGATCCAATTTGGAAACTGTCTAAAAATAGAAGAAGAAAACAAACAGTGTATGTTTTTGAAGCATTTCTTTTGATGTTTCCCCTTGATGGCTACTTTTTATTAGTAGGCTGTAAATATTTAAATTGTATAATTGTATACAATTACTGTATAATATGTTTTCCACCCCCTTTTGTAGGTAACGTTATAAGCACTTTAACATACCATTGTGAAGTCTTTGTAAACATGAATTTTTATGGTTGCATTAATAGATAGACACTTGGTTCACTTAACTCTTCCTCCATTTTGGGTTCATTACATTTGTCTCAGATCAGTTATAAGCCAGTCTTTCTTTAACTTTGGACCTTGAACCCACATTTAAGGGAAAAAAGTGTTTATCAGCAATGCTAGAATGAATATTTGTGCATAAAGCTTCCCATTCCCAGATTATACCCTTAAGCTAGTTTTTCAGAAACAATATTACTGGGTTAAAGTGTGGGAAAGTTTTTAGGCATCTTGATACATAATGTCAACTTGCAATACAAACTTCAGGCATTTTTTTAAAAATTAAAAAACGTGTTTTGTTTTTGGAATGTAAAAACTGTACTTATCACCAGAAGTCTTCACCAGAAAACCATACTATCACCAGACAAAAGTCGTAAGTCAACGTGTGGGGTCATAATGTTAACCATACTTGTAGATATTGAAACATGTGTCTTATTTCATAGAGAAAATTAATCAGAAGCCTATTTGATGAACTAATGACCATCCATGATTTTTCTGAGCATCCAGAGCCCGAATGCATCAGATCCCACAAAGTTGCATTTGGAACATACCAGAAATGTAAGCTCTGCTTTTGAGGAGTCTATTTTTTTTTTAACAATGCAGGATTGAAAAGAATTTCTATAAACTAATCTCAAGTTAATTATGAATTTTGAAAAAACTGTAGTGTCTTCTGAAATAGTTTTACAGTGTGTTTCTGTAACCCTTTCGAGTTTTATATGTATTTACAGAATAATTTTTCATAGGTCCTCTAAATGCTTTATTAAACATTTTTAAGGGAGGCTTTTCTAGCTCAGTAACTATAAATGGTAGGCACAGAGGTCAGTAGGAGATATTTATTCTTTTAGGCCAATTGATTCCATTTAATTCCACTGATGGTGAGATTTGGTTGGTGGCCTGAAAGCATTGTCAAGAACACAGGGATGGGAATTGGCCTCACTATAATTTAACTGTTAAAAATTGTGCATCAATACTAGTTGGAGTGAAATTTTTGCTTCATCGTCAGGTTGTCAAGTAGAAATGGAAAGGTGCGTATTGGGCTATGGATTTGATTTGGAGAAAAGATGTTTTCTGGGTTAACCGCTACTCCTCTTTTATAAAGAAGCTCTGGCAATTGTATGATTATCTCTACCTCAACCCTTCTGTCAAGTGTGAAGGAGAATTACTTCTGTCCCCTGCAGATAATAGCTCAGACAGTCCCAAGAATGTAGAAAATGTCCCATCCTTTTCCTTTCTCTGAGGATAACCAAAAATGAAGGCCATTGCACTCCTAAGGAGTTTTTCTTCCACTGTGCAAGGACTGTTACTATGAATCTTGCTATTGCGTTGAACTTGACATGGAAGGTGTGTCTGTATAAAGTTAAGTCAGGTGGGAATGAGTTACTGCTTGTCCATTGTGATAGTTCATTTTATGTTCCACTTGGCTGAGCCACAGTGCCCAGATGTTTGGTCAAACATTATTCTGGATGTTTCTGTGAAGGTGTTTTTGGATGAGATTGACATTTCGATCAGAAATTTTGAGTAAAGCAGATTGCTTTGTCCAATCCATTGAAGACCTGAGGAGAACAAAAGCTGGTTCCCCCGGAGCAAGAGGGAACACTCCAGCAGATTGCCTTTGAACTTTACCTGTCACGTTGGCTCTTCCAAAATTTCCAGCAGACTTCCTCTGGACTTGAACTCAAACTCTCTTCTGAGTCTCCATCCTGCCAGCCTCTTCAGTCAGACTTTGGACTCAACGAGCCTCCATAATCACGTGAGACAATTCCTTAAAATAAAATTCTTACTGTATATTTGTACACCCTACTGGTTCTGTTCCTCTGGAGAATTCTGACTTCTTACAGACACCACCCATATGCCCCTATTTTTCTTTCTGCTTTGATAAAGACAGAAAAAGAAAGACAGGCTTAAGCATATGGAATTGATAGCTCCCAATTCTATGTTTAACTCAGACATCTCTCCTGAGTTCCTGGTAAGCTGGTGGACATCAATGTTAATTCATCATATTCCAAGCTGAACCCTAGTGATTCAAGGCAGAAGCAGATTCAAAAGGCCTGGATTGGGGAGCTCCAAGGGTATGGGAGAAAAGAGTTATGGAGCTGAAGAGATAAGAAAAACTCTAAATCATAACTGGCTTTATAAGATGGAATTTTGACTGGGTCTTGAAGTCATTCAAGTCTTTTAGTCTTTTATTTTTGTCATTGGAGTCTTTTATTTTATATACACATATTGAAGCATAGTCAGTTACAATGTGTCAGTCTCTGGTGTACAGCATATTGTTCCAATCATACATATATTCATTTTCATGTCCTTTTTCATTAAAGGTTACTACAAGATACTGAATATAGCTCCTTATGCTATACAGAAGAAACTTGTTTTTTATCTATTTTTATTTATAGTAGCTAATATTTGCAAATCTCAAACTCCCAAATTTATCCCTTCCCACTCCCTTCTCCCAGGTAGCCATAAGATTGTTTGCAATGTCCATCAACAGAGAACTGGATAAAAAAGTTGTGGTATATGTATACGATGGAATATTACTCAGCCATAAAAAAGAATAGAATATTGCCATTTGCAGCAGCAACTTGGATGGACCTGGTGATTGTCATTCTAAATGAAGTAGGCCAGAAAAATAAGGAAAAATACCATATGTTATCACTCATATGCGGAATCTAAAAAAAGAAAAAAGACACTAATGAACTCATCTACAAAACAGAAGTCATTCTTCTTTGATATGCTGGACCTGTCCAAATAGGATGAGTTTCTATAATAAAGCAGGATATAAAGGACTCAAGTCTTTCATACCAAATCATTTTTTTTCTGCCCAGGATCAGAAATATGGAAGAAGTACCAGTTAAGAGGTATGACAAGACTCAGTAATTCTTAGCCACCCCTTTTACTACCACCACTGCCTAGAGTACTAGTGTAGTAATCTAAGCAAAGATGAATGGAAAAAAGAAGTGCCAGGATTTGCTAGAAAGTTGGAGGCAGAATCTTCAGGACTAATTGGATTTGTGGCATGAGGAAGTGAGAGTGTCAAGGATGTTGGAGTAAGTTTCTAGGGTAGACATAGCTGTGGATCGTGGTGCTGATCAATACAGGGGAGTAGATCTGGGGTAAAGTCGTCTTTGCCATTTGGCATATTGAGTTTGAGGCACCTATGGAATGTCCAATCGGTGATGAAAGAGGGGAATCAGATTCCCTCTGTGGGTACGTGGGAAGAGTTACTTCTTGCTCTGAGTGGAAGCGAAACATAAATCCAGTGACACTTTGTGTAACCATGTTAAACATTCCAAGGAAAAAACACCTTAGAACATTACTATTTACTCACCTCTACTGAGTACCATTTGGATTTCATGGGAATTTATGGGACACTGTGTCATACCTCTGAAAAACTGCTAGAGATGGCTGCGGGAGACCACAGTCTCGGCTAAACGTAAGCCAGGACAACAATCACTTTCAGGAAAAATTAAAGTTTTTATTAAAGGAGGAAAATAGATATGTTTTAGTTGTTTTGAAATTAATTAGAAAATAGTAGTCTACTTTGATTTTAAGCTTTTGAGTCACTTTTTTTTATTTCGTGGAGTAAACTAGACAATTTGGCTGTTACTTTTAACACTAGGTTATCTCTTCCATTAAAAGAGAAATGTAAGCAGTTGAATCACATGCTATGTTAATCAATGTGAAGGTCAAACTAATTCCTTGTCATTTTCCTCAGACTTCGGTTTTGCCTGCAACAATTTTAGGGAAGATATATAGGAGGACATAACCTCTGCAGTACAGGTTTAGAAAACTCAAAATGTTGATGAATGTTAAAACCAGTCATTCGCTTGGAATATGAATTTGGTCCTAAACTAATAGACATGTTTTGAAAAAAAATGATGGCTTGCTTAAGGAAGGTATCTTACCATGGGGGAGGGAGGACTAGAGATGTGAATACAGGGGTAGGACTGGTGGCATCTGATTTTTAAAATTCACCCTTTTAGATCAACTGGCACCTAATATCAAAATGACACAGTTTGAAATCTGGAAGAGGGCATTTGCCCACGCTCCTTGTTTTACAAGTGAGGGCCAGGCAGGTGAAGTGATTGCTAACTTAACTAATTAATAGCTTGTCCTGCAGTAAAATCCATGCCCCTTTATTGCCAGCCCGATTTTATTTCTATAACATTATAGTTGGGTAAAAAATCTGTCTTAGAGCTTTGAAGGCTGAGTATCTTGAAAATTAAAAATTGACTCAAACCGATGATGCTTATGCTTCATCAAGTTCATAATATTGTAGACATGTTTTTAGACTCAGTTCTACTATCTGCACGCATTTGTACAATAAACTTAACATCTCAGGACCTCAGTTTTCTTATACGGTGACTAAGTGCTTTGGATTACATGACATTCAAGGCCCTTTTTAGTTTCCTGGTTCTCATTTTCCTTGCTAAAGACCCTGGAAATTTATAAGAAACGGATCCTTTTCACAGTAGTCATAGAATTGCCTTCCTATAAATTTTACTTTTTGTATGTGTAAACTCTGCACAGGGCATAAGTAAGATTTAACTACTTTAAAAGATGCAATTAGCATGGTTATGGCTTGATTGCTATCTTTGTAGTACTGTCCCTGTGGATCCAATTTGAGAGGTGGGAGGTAGAAAGCAAAGGAAGAACAGCTCATCTCTCTCCCTCCCTGGACCCCAGAGTTTAAAAAATTATTCTTGTCCTTTCAAAATGTATGCAGGAGAAAAAAAAATCAGAAAATTTAAAAATATGTAGTTATAAA